AATCCCCTTGTCCTCACAATCACCCCACCAACCCCCAAATCCAACGTATCGTTTTTCACTACCTACAATCCAAGCCCACAACCAAAGATTTCCCTCCCTAACCCCCATCTGCCTTTTGTAGGGACCGCTCTCCACAACTCCCTTGTCCGCTCCACACTAACTCCACCACCTTTCCCTGCAACTGCAGGAAGTGCTACATCTGCCCCTGCACCCCCCCACCCTCCTCACCTCCAGTCAAGGCCTCAAAACAAACCTTTCAAATCAGACAGGGGTTCACCTGCCCATCAACTTTGTCTACTGTATCTACTGCTCCCAATGTGGCCAAGGAGAGATGGAAATGGTTGCTGAGAACAGTTTGTCTCAATCTACAGTTGAGGTGCAGGCAGTGCAAAGTTCAAAAATCAACCTGTCAGTTTTACTCATTCTTTATTCTTACATCTTTGTAAGAGAAATCCATTGAATGATCAAAATGACTGCCTTTAAATTAGATAGAATACATATGTGCAGTTGCTCTTCAGATTTTCTCACCCATTCCAAAGGACCTTTATCATTCCTCACGCAAAAATCAGATAGCTTTTGCACAAGTTCATTGTCACTGACTTACTGTTAGATATTTTCTAACCTATTTGTCTAGGTGTTGCTAGATCTCGGATTTGAACTGGGCCCCCAGCTCAGAGGCAGGGATGCTATTATCACTGTGCCACAAGAGCCAAGCACAGTTTTGTTTTTATTCTTCTAATCAACTTGTTCGCAGACATCTATTACACACCTCTGGAGCAGGTGGGGCTTGAGAGCAGGCCTCCCAGTCCAGGGTAGGGACACTATCATTGTGCCACAGGAACCTCAAGCCCGTTATTAAGTGATGCATTTATTAGCCTCACTTGGTCACCATGTGCCTTAAATTCCTGAAGCTGATGAAAGTGATGCATTTGCACAGTCATGCAGCAATATTTTAATCTTTGTTCGCATCTCTGCTGTTCCATTTAATACAGTAAAAGCATCACGTTATGACCGAGTAGAGGCAAAATGCAGACTGGTTCCTTTGCAGATTAAAATAATCTTAAGTTCAACAAGCTATTGTGCTCATTTGACATATCCTAGTGACATCTTCCACAAATGGGTTAGATCCTCAGTGAAGAATGCAATGTTCAAACCCGAGTATCCAATCAAGATTAATACAATAGTAACTTCAAGGACCTTTTTCTTGGCGGCAATATTGGTTTTACCGTGAAGTAAAATAGCATACAGTGCCCAACTGGACATTTGTAATAATGATTATCCAATGCCACCAATTCAGATAATTTGGAGAAACTTACTATTTTTCCAACTTGAATTCAAATACACAACTGAAGAAATGGGTAAAAAATGAAAAAACCATGAGCTAAAGAAGTTGAAGCACTCAACTGATAGCTCCAAAACTCAAGTTTTTAAAAAGGTCCAATACAAATGCTGATAAACCAGCTAAACCAGTAATGGAGATTGTACTGTTCTAAACTTACTCCAGGCTTAAAAACTCAAAGGCTGCTTCAAAACTTATGGGGCAGGGATGTGCAAATCAACATGTAATGAGGGAAAAAATTAGTGGCAAAAGGTGGCAACAAGCATTTAGTTCAGGGAAGTTACTGAAGCCAAAAACTACATGTAGTTTTCTACCTTTTAGTCAAACTTAGAAGTCAAGCTGTAGGAACTCAGTACAAGTTACAAGAACATTACTGTCCACTTCTAATGACAGATCACCTTGACAACTTGAGGCAAACAGCATTCTTAGATTTCAGACCATACAAAAACACCCAAAGCCTAGATTTCAATTACTGGCAGAAATCTGAAGCATGTTAGCATTTGCAAATATTTTAACCACACACTTTGAATGCACAGTACCAAACTGTCTAATGAAAGCTAGCTCAGAGTAAAATGGATTCATAATTTGGTTTGGACTTTGCTAAAGGCCTTGATTAGGTACATTTGTAAACATTATAACCTAAATTAGTGTCACATGTGCAAAGGATAGTGTAAATCTGTAACCTCAGATTTTAAACACATCGTAGAATTGAAGCCCTATCATCAGTATATTGGGATGCCAAATATAGCACTCGATCAAATTAGACTGAAGTGTTAATATACACACATATACCAATTCCTTCAGCTGGTAATGACTTTTTAAAAGGTTCACATTTTAGGTACTTAAGCAAAACTGGAGGTTCTTTTACAGGTTTCAAAATTTGGTCATCTGATAATAGGATTGCCTATTTGAACAGTTTAAATTCTAAAGTGTGTAAAGCCTATGAAGCTTAGCAAGCTGCTTTATAGAAAAAAACTAGACTGAGTGCAAATGATCAATATAGCTCTGAAAAGGGTTAATGAGGTGTCAATAAAGCATTCTGATTTAGCTCAGGAACCAAGTTTACTTGCAGTCCTTTCAATTAACAGGGATCTGCATTTGCTACAGATCATGCATTTGGATCACAATGACATTGCATATTGTGCTATACAGAGATGCTGCCATCAATTTCAGAACCAATTCCAATCCATCAGTAAACCATCTTGCATATCAAGCACACTCCATTTTAGAGTAGAGGATCTATAACACCCTCTCCAATATCAGCTTTTAATAAGGTATGAGCAATAACACTTCAAAAATCTGTTCCAAGAAATATATAAAAAAATCACTTTCTGGTTAAACAGTTATTCTACACATGATTACTTAAAGGGCCACTTTTAAAAAAATTAACATACAACCAAAAACATCTATTCTATCCCTGCGCAGGATTTAAAAACAGGACTCGACTAGATGAAATATGCTGTGCTCACACTAACTTTGGCTTTTATAAGATAAGGCATGTTATTACACAACTGATCAATTTATGCTCCAAACGTTGACAAACTTAAATGCAAACAATTCAAGAGTACTGCCTGAGTTCATGAAAAAATGCTGGCAGAATTTAACACATTTAAATTTCTTGTGATTAATAAACTTTGAAATTTAGGACTACTTTTGAGTATGCATCTACAAGTTGGTTAGCAAAAAGATGTTCTATTACCATAATAACTATGGCAAGTGTAACCAGTAACACAAATAACTTTATCACAACCAGAAATAAGTGATTCACCAAAACCATCTTTTCATTGAGGAATAAAAAATTCAACTTTCATGGTTGCGATTCACTCAACCAGTTCTACCTTTACAGCAGTCACAACATCATCTCTGGTTGGTTAGTTGAGACTAAAAGTGACCTGTACCTGCCTATTACTGGTCAATGCCAGGAGACCAAAGCAGATTCAAACTAGCAACTACAAATTGAGGAATGGTAGAGGTAGAGTTCTTTCAAGACTTGCTATAAAATCAGTACAAGATGCTTCAACTTCCATTTCTTAGAAAAAAGTAACATCTACCCTTTACTATCAAAGAAGTTCAACAAGCAGAAAACAGGTAGAAACCGATTTTCAGCTATTATTCACAATGACCGGTTGAGGCCAGCAAGCAAAGGGTGAAGCTTTTATGCAATAAACAGCAGGTGATTTTACTCTTCTAGAAGTCCTAATGCTACTAAAAGCCACTCTTAGTGTACTGTAATTGGGCTTCAGTAGTTGATGTAGTATTGACTGCATTATATGGCCATGTGTATCCTCTTTTACTAATGCCATTTGTATCGCCTTTGTACATTTACCATATTGCTTAGCCAATATCTGTTAAAAGCAATCCAAATCATGAATTATATACAAAAACTTTTAGCAAGGACAAACATCCAAAGCAGAGAATTTACAATTGACTTGGTACAGAGTCCACTTAGAGAAGCAGGATTTAATAGGGCTGCCTGTCATTTTTTTTGCGCTATGGTTTTCATCAAGAACTGCAATCAAAACACCAAGCAGTTCATACTCATCATTTTCACCGACTTAACCCTACCTACACTATGGTATTGGTGACTTTTCCTCGCCTTACTGGAGCCGTATCGTGCAAAGTCCACACGTTAAGCGGTGAACCATATGTCTCCCGTTATCCTTGATATATATTACAGGCACTTTGAAGTGTGTGTGGGTGGGGGGGCGGTGAATGAGAAGAGTGGGAAGGAAGGGGAACGATAAGCATTTCGCACATTAAGTTCTGCAGTCTTTGAAGAGTTAAAGGAAGAGTCGGTTCACTTCGCTCGTATCGACGGGAGCACAGCAGGGAAACAGCCGTCTTAAGTCCTACATTAAGACCAATTCACTTTTCAGATAAGGTGAAGGCTCATTAAAGTGCTTTATCCGAACAGGAGTGGGGTGATAAACATACACGTGCTTCTATATTTAGTCTAATAGAGAACATATACAGCGGAAAAGGAGCAAAAGTATGAAGCTGTTGGAAAAAAGGATTGGAAAGTAATTGCGTTAATTGTGTCAATTTCATCTCCGTAGCAACGGGGCAAACGGCAGTAACTGATCCGGAGAGAAATACAAGGACAGAACTGGCCGCAATCGCTTTTTACCAACCGCGATAGGAAAATTAAAGAGAACTCGATGCAGCTTGATATTCGGTAATCCGGTCACTGATCTCTCATCCGTACACATCGCCTCTGCAACTTCTCACGGCAGAATCAAAGCAATTGCATAATTTCCAAGCACAGACTTTCCCCATTTCCAAAAATAAATGTTTGCAGCACTGTGACCGGGGAGTAAGTGCACAAGAAGCCATCAAGTGAAATCGAAGAGGGGGGGGGGGGGGGGGAAAAACAAGCGAAGGGGGGGGGGGGGGAGAAGAGAGAGAGAAAACAAATACGTACAAAAGAAACGCAGTTTAATGTTGCACTAGGATCGAGAAAATTCAATCGCTTCTAGAGCTGAGTTCGTGGGTCCGATCAGGGAGATGCACAAACCAAAACGGAAGGGGGTGGGGGGGGGGGAGAGAAATAGACGCATTGTTTCCACACGGCCCGGTATAAACACGATAAGAACATGTGAAGAGCATTTCGCATAGGAAGAGGAACGATATAAACAGACCGTAAAAAAGTGATCACACAAACCGCTTCCATCGCCGCTGTTATTTTGCCGGGTTTCATTTCACGAGACACAAACCCCTGTTGGAGGAGGAGGAGGAGGAGGGGGGGGGGGGGGGGGTGGGGGAAAAAAGAGAAAGAATACGGGTTTACAAAAAAAAAGAAAAAAATCCCCCCACCAAGCAGTGTGGCTCACCTTCCTCCTTGTCAAGTACCATCGTCCTCTGGACGCAGCGGAGTCCGGGGCACGGCGCTCCCTCCTCGGCTTCTCCAGCGAACGAGAGTCGCTGGCTGAACTGCTGACAATCTTCTGCCTTTGAAGATCGAAAGAAGTGGTGACAACCGACCCTTTTTTTTGTTGCCCCCCCCTCGGTTAATGTAAAACACAGCAGCCCCACACCTTCAACAACCGGTACCTAGAAAGAAAAATCACACTCAGCCGCTCTCAAAAGCCGGCAAACAGCGACCAACAGCTTTTTCCTCCAATTTATGTGGTTCTGTACCCTTTAGGGTCCCTAGCTGGCGAATAAATGCACACATTTCCCAGTATTCCTCAGGTTCCCTGGTTAATTAAATCAATTCATTATGCTCATATCTGATTAGCAGCCCCCGAATCAATTATTCAATACACAAACATAATTGCCTGTGCCAGAGGTGTCTAAGTTTTAGCTTATTTAACTCCAAGGACACTAATTACCCCTAGGGCAAGGGAACTTTTCTCATTAATTCTGAGAAATACAAAAGCCCATTTAAGGAGTGTGCGTGGTTGACTCACAAAGGGAACATTCTGTAATACACGTGCATTTAGCAATGGAGATTGCGCGAGAGAGAGAAAGGGGTTTGGTACTAATTTATAAAATGGGTAATCTTATTTCTTCCAAAGGTACAATAACGAGCCACCCTCGAATCTTTTATTAAACCTTGAAGCAAAATGGGATGGGGAGGGTGGGGGAAGGTAAAAGTGGAGGGCGGGAGATCGTTAAACTGGATTCTTACCGATCTTTTATTAAAATGACAGAACAGCGGGTAGATCCAAGATCGTTCCCTCCAACCCCCCCCCCCATTCCCCTTTTTAACATTCAATCCAACTTTAATCCTAACCATTAGGAACTGGGCATGCAGAGCTGTCCAGCCACAGTTCTAAATTACAATCAAACGGTTACCAATTACACAAATTATTGACGGCAGATTCTCTTTTCAACTGCAAATTAAGGCTATTAAGAAAGCCTTTTTTAATGCAAAAGTGACTAATTAACCAACGGATGGGAAATCTGCAGCCCAGATATCAAAAAAGTGCTCTGTGCACATTGCGGAAACACAAGGGAACCAATTAGTTTAATTATCAAAACAGCTAATTAAAATTGCACAGTTCCTAATTAGTTCTTTGCTTTTTCCTCTAATTGACAGGATGGAGATAAATGGGCAGCCGATGAAAAAAAAGGAAAACAGAGAAACTCTGGTTGAATATTTATGCTGACTTTATCTCGGTCTGTGTGGCAGCCTTGAAACTGGGAAATTAATGACCTTAATTCCCAAACTCTTTTACTCTAACTGCGCTCCCCTCTGCGTTCCCTAAGCATTCTGATTTTTATGGGTCCAGCCACCCCGCCAACAATTTACTCGGGAATAAAAGCCCTGGGAGGTGGGGATGATCCAACAATTCACTGCCTAATGTGACAGGTCCCAGTTAAAGACACAGGGCTCTCTTTGTACCTTACATTTAATCGCTGCCAGAAATCTGATCGTCATTACATTCTCTTTTCAAACCCGTTTCTCCTTGTTGCGATCTTCGCTGTGACACCCCCCCCCCCCTTTAATCACGTTAATTAACCGACTATTGTCTTCATTGCCTGGGGATGGGGAACTCGTCACAAGTGAGCCGGCGGTTTTCATTTGCAACCTGATGTGTTTTGATACAAATTCCACGGTAGTAACGCCGAGCTAAACAAACCAAACACAAACGTTACCAGGCTCTTCTGAATGTGGCCTTCCCACTTAGGAAGGCTGTTAACTGATGTTAAGAAGCGCTTCAATGAAGGGCAACCCTATCTATCATGGCACCATCTTAAACGGTTGCTAATGTTTACGATCGGCATATAAATGGTTTCATAATTTTTCTTCAAGTCAATTTTCCCGTCTTTAAGAAATATTAAGTTTACTTTCAAAAATAAAACTTCCCTAGCCATTTTAGCTGAACTTAAATCCCATTCCCCAGTGAAATCACAATGCAACTAGAACTCGTTGTATAGGAATTACAGATAGAACTATCACACTACTGAAGCTTTTATTTGGGAGAAACCGATGCTTTACAGTGACTAAGCTAGTAGAATTTTATTTTTATTGTATACAATTCCAAGCTTCTAATTGGTTTCCTGACCTTCACACCTTGCAGTAAAATCTACCCCCACACGTTCCATGCACTGCTTATTGATTGGGTTTCATTTGCAGGTAGGGACAATAATTTTCACGTGGAATGCATTTACCCGAAAAGTCAGACATTCTTTGTGACAAAGCCACTTTTATCCACCTTCTGCAGCTCTGTTCCGTGTAAAAATCGAACTCGTTTGTCGAGATCATTAGGAATTTGGTGAACTCCACATTCTAAATTGCTAATAATTAACTGGCATTGACTGACATTGTGCTCACAGTGATTTTTCCTCACACAAATGTTCTGCTAGATCCTTACAGTATGAAATATTTTATCACATGACACAACAATAGAAAATGATCACCCTCTCACTACAATAAGCCTCCCATTTCCGATCCTCTATGGTGGTCATACCATCTAATAGTCATATGGCATTGCAGTAGTAAAACACTTTCCAGGCTGCCGATTTTGCAATGTTCTAGGAATTTGACTTCATGTTTTGCCATGGAGATAAGTATGTCTGAACTACACATAAGATTAGTAATTTTGGGCTCAAAATAATGTTGGAAAATTGAACTTTGAAATCAGGATTTTCTGCATGGGGATTATTTGCATCTAGAGAAGAGAAAAAAGACATTAACTAATGGTTATATGGATACCACAATACTCACTGTTGGTAAAAATACTTGTTAAAAACTTAGTATTGGAAGCAAAGTTGTCTCTATATCTATGTACAAACAACTGGATGATAGATCCAAGTTTCCATTTTTCTGAAGTCACCAAATGATTTGCAATCTTTGTTCTGTAGTTTCCCAATGTTTATCCCAGATTTTTGAAAATGTCAGATAAAACATTGGCAAATAATAGTACATCATGAAACTCATCTTATTCAAAAATCACTTTTTGGGACAAATTACATGATTTAAGGGATAATATGACAAACAAAATACTCCATCTTCCTGGCCACACATGTGTCGCTATACAATTGTGTTCAGCTTGGTTTAGTTGAGAATAGTCCCACTCAAGTCCAAAAGTTGTGGGTTTCAGCCTAACCCAGTCCAGAAATTCAGCTATTCCAGCACTAACCCTAATTAGTCCGTGGAAATAGTGCTGTAGGTATAAAATTAATAAGCTAGTAATTGAGAGTCCTAAGCTGATGTTCTGGGGACTTGGGTTCAAATCCCACCATGGCAGAAATTTGAATTCAATAAAAACCTGGAATTTAAATAAATAAATCAATAATAGACATATTATTGTAAAAACCCATCTGGTTCACTAATTGCCTTTAAAGAAGGAAGCTGTCATCCTTTCCTCTGCTGGTTTCCAAATCCACAGTAATATGATTAATTTTTGACTGTCCACTGAAATGATCCAGCAGGCCATATAATTCAAGGACATATAGGAATGGACAATAAATGCTGGGCCAGCTAGTGAAATCCAGATCCTATCAACACATTTAAAACAAAACTGATTCACTGCAACACTGTCCTTTGGGCAAGATATAAACAGAAACTATTCCTGCATGTTCCAGTAGTTCACCTAGCTGCTCAAGATTAATGACACTACTTGAAGATATCTCTTGAAATATCTGCTTATCCTGGTCAACATTCCTCCCTCAGTCAACAATACCAAATACAGGATTAACCAGTCTTCTGTCTAATATTTGAGATTTTGTCATGTGCCAAATGGCTACCATTTTCTTCGAATAGCATATGGAAAAAAAACATTTTGCCTTCACCTGACTGTCCTCAAATGACATGACAATAGTGCTTCCAGGTAATTCACTCTACGTGAAGCACAGATGTGACCAGATGCTATGGACATTCTATGAAGTAAAAATTGATTGAAATATATATATATATTACTCATGCACATGTTGGTTACATGTAATTTTAATATCATTTTTAGAAGTGAGTTAAGTATTTTAATCTTTGTATGGTTAAAAATATTTACGCCAACTTCATGAATCAGTTTTGTCACAAGTAAAATTAATGTCTGATCTCAACTGTTTAAATTTTCAGTATGGCAGCCAGGCACTTAAAAGGTTGAGGAGCAAAACAGATGACATCAGCCTACAAGTTTATAATTCACATTAATATTAGTAAAATTCAAATCAGTTATATATGCACAATTAGTCTCTGGTTTGTTTTTGTCATGTGGGTAACATTCATATTACACATACATCAATTAATTATGCTATTTTTGCATATGGAATAAATTACATATTTGATATTGGTTTCCTTTGATTTATTACTGTCTACTTGCTAAGTGAAATGCAAGCTGTACTTCATGCAGAAATGTTGTTTACAGTCTTAACTGCAGTGAATCTGTTATGCATCTTTCTATGATTGTTAAGGCTTGCAGGATTTCCTCAATTTAATGGTTGGGAGACTGGTGAAGTGGCACCACCCACATTGGGTTCTTATGAGTTTTGAAGACATGGGAAGTGCCAAAAGGTATTGTCCTAAAGTTTGACACATACACATTGTTCTAAGATCATACTAACTGAAATAAAAACTATAGTCAGTGTAATGTCATATTCAATTGGTACATCACTTGTGTGAGGATATTTCCATAGAAATATAGGTTACTGTTGGATTCATTATGAGCATATCTTGTAATTAACTTTGAATTACTATCATTTGAACAAACAAACAAACAAACACAACAACTGTGTTATAACACAATAAAACTCAAGGATTGCATATATAGGTCAGAACTTTACTTGAAGAGAATGACCAGAAAATTACTTGTGTAAAAAGCTGAGTTCAACAGTTGAATCAGAATTTTGTTAGGATTGGGTAAATGCTTATCTAATACTGGCAAACCATGTTCTGGCAAATGTAATTTGAATTTATATTTTATTTATTTTCCATGATGCCAAATATGAGGATCCTGGCTAATAGCTAGTTATGTATGTTTCACCTCTATTGTTAAATTCCTTGGTAACTTAAGAAAACAAAACTACACAGCCAAGACCAACTGAAAGTATGTCATATTGTTAAAGGGTCTGCACACAAAAACTTGTTAATTCTACTTGGCTAATTTAGAATCTGTCTACAGTGGAAAAAGAAAGATTAAGACAGTTTGGAGGAACATACAAAATGTAGCAACAAATAGGGCTTAAAAATTGCAACGGGTATTATTTTTTTCCAGAGGATAGAGCCAATGATGTTGATGAATAGTTTTATTATTGATAGCCATTTAAAGGAAGCAGCCAGTTAATGTAGGCATGTATTTTCATATTGCAATAGTTGGTTAAAATCCAGTTTCAGAACAGCAGCCAGCCTTCCACTTATCAATGTATCACCTTTTGCCTGGTGTCGTAGAATTAAATGAT